TTCGCGCAGATTTTTGAGGAAAATTTGACTCACTCACTGAGTAACCACACTTTCACAATTTTCAGTGATGTCATGGTCCCTTAGCCGAGCCAGTAAAGGCGCAGCTACAAAGCAAGACCATGCTGGAGGTGGCTGGGTTCAATTCCCGGTCCAGTCTAGGAATTTTTCGGGTTCGAAAATTTCTCGACTTCCCTGGGCATAGAAGTATGATTATACCAATGCAAAAATGGTACAGGCATCGAAAGCTCTCAATTAATAACTATGGAAGTGTATCTAGAACACTAAGTTGAGAGCACGCAATAAGCTAATATACGATATGCAATAAGCTTGAAATGCGAAGAAGAAGAAAAAGAAGAAGAAGAAGAAGAAGAAGAAGAAGAAGAAGAAGATGGTGGTTAGAACTGATCACTTGATTCATCTGAGATGCTCCAAAACTTGATCTACAGTTGTAAAATTTAATTAACCACTTCATTCAAGCAGTTAAAATGACGTTTACTACCACTCGAACTTTGAAATAAAACATTATTTTCAGATTTTTTTCTTCTAGAACCTCGAAAAAAGTAGCCAACATTTGTGCGTTTCATAAAAAAATAGAAATTAGTTGGTCCAGTTTTGGCCAAAGCTGCTTGACAAAGTGGTCAATTCTGTATCGTTTTTGCAAGAACGCTGCTGGTGTTCATGATTTTTTTTGTTGAGAAAAAAGTAAAATTAGAATAGTTCCCTATTGGTCATGATCTTCCGAAATTCTTGTGTGTGAATAGTGAACAGTTCAGATCTATGGAATATCGTAAAATAGGACAATTACTGATGGAAATTGGCAAGACGTTCTATGAAAAATGCTTTAATTTGCGTTGTGAAAAATCTTTATTCTGATGTAAGCAAACGGTTTGGTTGACGTTTCCTCACGAACTCGCCTGGCACTCTCTACACTGGAGGTGCATTAAAAGGCTTATTGGAAGGTGAACAGTTGAGTTCAGAATTTTTCTTCCAGGTGGCACTAATCAATTATTTGCTTAACTTGACATCTTGACTAGATAGAAGGTTTCTGTCTTTGGAAAAGTTTTTCAAGTGAAAGAAACTTATTGGATGGTGTACATCACACTAGTATATTTTTAACTTCTTATTACTAGCATACCATTTTACTTCTTATTGCTTTAACTTGCGACTGCGACTAGATAGAAGGTAGTGGTCTTGGACAAATTTTGATTATTAAGACCTATTGGATGATGGACAACTCAGTTCAGATTTCACTCACCATGTGACGCTAACGTGCAATTTGACATCTTATTGCTTGCTTTGACTTGACAGTACGACTAGATAGAAGTTTGCTGTCTTCAGTTCTGAATGACTATACCTATCATTTCTCACTCGAATAATAAATCCTATTTGTTAACTGCAGCAGGACCTTGTGTTTTGGGTAGTCATAGGAATTTGAGCAGGGTTCTCTCTATTTTTACTCTTTAGTATGACGCTTTTGACATAGATGGGCCACAGCGACTCACGAAGAGCTACTGATTCTGATCATTAGCGGTGCGGCTTCTTCCTCATTCTATGGATGCTCATGTGGGCTGCAGCTCACTGCTGCTGATACCACCACACAAGGTGATTAGAATCCGATCAGTGGTTGAAGCCTTCATGGTTAGTTGCTTGCGGGGAGCCTTTCGTTGTGTATTGGAGAACACCACCACTCACTACGCGGTGATTGAATAAACACCGTTTGGTGCGATCAGATGGAATTCAACTTTGTCTGTGTTAGGGAAATCGCTTTTCGCAGGCAATTGGTGATAATTTTAATTATCATAGCAACAGTTTTTTTTCCTCTGTTTGGGACCTAACACCACTGCGACCAGTAATTTGTTCTATTGTAGTATATCCCGTGTCCTTAGTTTAGTGCATGTCGTATTACTCCATCACTATTGAGAAATGGTGAAGTATTCGATTTTTTTTACAGTTGTCATTCTTGTATTTATCGCAAGGATCCGAATCTAATTGAAAGGTTCCGCTATTTATACCCTTCGGAGTGTTAAATCACCCTCCAAAGGCGCGTCCCTTTGTCAATCAAAATTGGATTCCTTAGCAACAAAATTATGGAATGACACCGATAATGACCATGCACCAGAACCCTAGTCTTCACCACTTCAAACTAGGGAGCAACGAATAGATGATTAAGAATCGCATAGATGAAGACTAACTAACTCATTTTTTCCTTGTTTCAAGATCATCCTCGGTGGACAAAGTCGAGTCTTGTAACTATCAACAAGGCATAAACAGTAACAAGGGCTAAGATGTGTTTCTTTGATTACTGAAAAATCCTGTTCCCCTAGTTTGAAGTAGTCAGGACTAGGAATCGGTGGTTTTAAATATGATAAAGTCTTAAATTCAACAGATGCGTAAGAATATTTCTAATCGATTGGTGATAAAACTATTGAAATTGGTCCAAGGGCAGCTGAGTTATTAACGTTCAAAATCTTTCATAATGGTGTTACATGTTCCATTTTCGGTTTTCACAAAGTGTACCCCAAAAAAGAAAACACAGACGTAGTCCTACGTCAAAAGTTGATCACGTTTCTTCGGGACCTTGTGGTCTTAGAGTTACCTCTCTGCTAATAGCCATCAGCTTAAGTCGACATCTCGACTAGATAGAAGGTTGCTGTCAATACGACCTATTGTATAATGAAAAGCTTCGTTCTATACAAATCAATAATTTTGAAATTGGGGGAAATGGATGTAAGGTCAGCCTAAATGCTCCTAATTTGGACCCATACATAAATTCAGCAATCGACTAAATTTTCAATAGCGACCAAAAATATCCATTAGTTTCGTCCCAATGACGCATTCATCTAGATAAATAGCAGATTTTTAGCGATGAGCCCAATCTTAGATCCATAGGCCAGCATTAGAGCCATTTCCGCTATCTTTTAAATTATCAAACAAAAAACAACCTCCGTAGTCCCACTTCAATAATGCGGTCATGCTTGGGACACAACCCTTAATTTTTTAATACGGTGTTCTTTCAGAGGTGCCGCGCATGATGCATGATAGTGGTTTACCACGCATTGTAGCACGGAAACTAAGTCCGACAGCAGTGGGCTCTCTTCTCTGTTTGTCTTGATCAAGCTTAATAACCTCTGATTGTCCTCAACATGTCGCTGTATGAAGGGCCAAAAACGGATTGGGTAGATCGATAGGCAAAGTTGCCTATACGCATCTACGGAACAAGAGAATCTCCTTCCAGCAACTTGATCAGCCAATTGGTCAAAAAGACAAGCCCCAAACAGGAAGATGCCCCAATGAGTGGGGAGAAGAGCCCACCCTTTATCCACGAAATGTTATCAACAGGGAGTTGGCATTCCCACTCTCCCTGTCCAAATCGCTTCAAATGGGTGCCCTGTTGGACCGTCCCTTCCCTTTGATTTATGTATTTCAATGTATATACGAGTTGATTGTAATGATTATTGTCAATAATACTTACATTTCGATGAAAATCGTGATACTTATCATTACAGAAACCAATTTTGAATCGTAGACCATGTCGTTCAACAATCCACTCGTTCCGAGACGGGGCTCTGTGATAAAGCCATCTTCTTCATCATGTTCGCTCGTCACCCGGAATGCATGCAAATGAAAATGAGATACCGTGATACATAAACTTGAAATTTATTAATTACATGATTTTGCTGTACATATCTTCTATTCAAATACCCATGATTGTGAATGCCGATAAACTAAGGTATAATAACACAGAACACATATTAATAGTGAAATACGCACTGAGGAAAAATACTATAAATAATAAGTGCTGAAATCACCATGTTTACACGACTGGCAGTGGATGTAAATAAAATAAATGTTCTCAAAATGTACCTGTCAAGTTATCAGTACATGACAAACTGAAGCTATATAGGTTTTAATATAAAAAAAATCATGTTTTTGAATTTTGGCCATTTTTTGCTCTAGTTACTCCACTGAAGAATGGAGCTACAATATTCTCATTCGTATCCCTTACCGTTCTGGAGCTACAACGACAAGAAAGTAAGTAAATTTAGAGCCTCGAGATGACCAGCAACCCGAGCAAAGCCTGAGATCAAATTTGAATCTAAATTTGATGTTGTGATTTCACTGATAATGATTACTCAGGTTGCTGTCGTTTTGGTCGTTTTAACGGTTAAAATATCAAAATTGAGAGCAAACAAATCTTCCTGTGACATCACATTGAAAACAATTTCTGCTATCAGTGAGAGCAAATTGAAAACTTAATTTGATATCAGTTTTTCCTGTTGATAACAAAACAAGTTTTCAATTTGATGTTATGCTGATGTTATGTTATTATGTTATTATGCAATGAAAACAAACTCGCAACAACAATTTTTGAAGAGCAAATGCACAGCAAAATGAAAACAAAATTTGTTATCAAATTTGACAATTGTGTAAACTGAAATCAAATTATGATTTTAGTTTGATGTTGATATCAACATTTGATTTCGATTTGCTGTCACTCGGGAAGCCACTTGACGGGTTGAGAGTGACAATCGAAAAGATAATTATGAGTGTGGAGCTCAACATTCGAGGTCCGGTTGTGAAAAAAGGGAATATATCTCAACTCTGCTAATATTGCTGTAAGGTTTCGATGCACTGTTTTCCTAATTAAGGATACCCTGCTCATAAAGACAGACACCAGTATATGTTGAAATGATGATTTTTAAATGTCTGCTAATAAACTTTAATGCAATAATAAAACGATTTGTGTAATGTGAAATGTTTTTATTTACATGATTTTAAATTAAATGGATTAACAGTGAACAAATATAGTTGGAGATTAGTTAAACAATTGAAAAATAGGCTTACACTAATGACCAAATGGAAAATAATTATTATTGCATGATAATATTAAAGTAATAAAACGTAAAGCTTCCAAAGCCTTTCAAAGGCACAAAAAGTTATCCTAAAGAGTAGAATTTCGGCATTAAATTTAAGAACATTCAGCGATTTATGAATGACAAAATTTATTGGATTACTACTTTCGTACTTTCATACTAAAACCTTCCGACTCTGACAAAAAGAGATACAAATGAGAGAAGAATACCAGAGATACAATTCGTATTGGAGATTTGTTTTTTCTCTATAACATGAAACTATAATCCTTTACCTCATGGTAGAAGTAGATAGTACAAGAACACTTACCAACATTTTGAACGGTTGCTGCTTACGTTCTAGTAGTTTGAATAGGTTAATTGCAGTTATAAATACAAACGATTCATCCCAGGGATGTTTTGGTTCACTTTTAGCTATGCTTAAATGTAGATGTGTACGGGGGGAGGGGCGAGGGGGTAGGTATGGTCGTGTAAATATTCAGAAAACATCTAGTCGATTCCACCTGGGTTGTGTACTATCTCAAGGAACTGGGGCATTTTTAATGCCAGGCGAACACTACGTGAGCCATGATCAGATATCCTGTCGTTACTATCACACTGACCAACATGATGGGGAATCCGAGTCTGTAAATACAATGTGGGTGAATGATTGCGATTTATGTGACGCAACAGTAATGGTACTTACTTAAAATAGTCCATGAAACTGAACCGATAGCCGTGCTGCTCCGCTATTCCAGCGCAGATGACGTTTGCCGAAGCACCGACCAGTGTTCCGTTGCCTGTGTTGAAATTAAGTTTATAGTTAATCAGCGAGTCATAGCATGTCTAGAACTGAACGTACCTCCCAAGCAAGGACCGAAAGCCAACGCCCAAACCAATGGCTGCAGAGGAAGACCCAATGTCGATTTCTCCGATAGGGCCACAACGATCTTAACCATCATGGCCGTAACCGGAATGCTGTCTACGAAGGCCGAAGTCAGAGCCGAGATCCACAGAATGATGATGATCGCTACTGCCAGCCGTAGGTCTTCCGATACGGATTGGATAATTGACTCGGTGGCATGACCGATCCAGTCGATCAAACCCATCCGTTCGACGGCTTCCATCAGGGTGAACATGGCTGCGAAGAAGAGCAACGTTGGCCATTCGATGCGGGACAGTACAGCATCCATGTCGTTTCTGAGAATGATGGTTTATGATAGTAAATGATCCAAGAAAAATTCGATTAGATAACTTACTTATCGGAGATTATCAGCAGCAACATCACGCCGAGTAGGGCTGCCCAACCCGATGACATTCGTCTCAGCTCCGGGATCGATTCCAGGAAGAACAACGAAATGATGAAAGCACACGCCACGCCGGATTTGATCAGCAGACCCTTGTTCTTGATCGGATGCTCCTTCTGGAGTTCCTCCAGCGTGGATCGGTAGATTTCCTCCGGAACGCATCCCTTGGTCATTTTTTTCTTGAGCTCGTGCCGTAACATTCGAACCTTCTTCGTCAGCGTTTCCCTCACTATATTGGCATCCTTGGAGTACGGTGGAATTTTCCCGGCGGCCCGTTCCCAAACCTTGATGTTTCGTCGAAGTTCCTTCAACTCCTTCGGTTCGTGCATCCGCAAGTTGTTTATGTTCCTGTACTTCAGCCGAAGATGGATGTTCGTTGCTATTACGACGATGATCACACCGACCATCATGTGAGCAGTGAAGGTTAAAAATGTAACACCCTGCAAAAGATCGACAAGCTTGATAAGGAACGTTTCACGAAAAATGGTGGCAAGAGAACTTACGTGTTTCAAAATGTACTGATTCGACGTGATGATGATGTTGGGCGGATCACCGACCGGGGTCATCGTTCCACCGATGTTGGCGTGCACGGTGATGGCCATCAAAACCGGTACTGGGTTCATATCCATCACCTCACATAATCTTAAATTAAATAGGAAATGTTAGCACCACTAGGAACACCAAGGATTCCGGACGCACCTTATAGTTATTGGAGCCATCAACAGCACCGTAGTAACGTTGTCCAGGAAAGAAGAGATCAGAGTAGTACATATGCATAAACAGTGAATGAGGTTCCAAATTTTACCATTAGTGATCTGCAATTGCACATTTTAAAAGTTATCAAAAAATAAACTAATTGTGTCTAGTGATCAAACCTTATAGATATAAACAGCCAAAAAGTCAAAGATGCCTGTCTCCGCCAAGATTGCTACCAGGATCATCATCGAAAACAGCAACAGGATCGTTTCCACATCGATCCACCCCACGATGTCCTCCATCGTGGGCCGATCGTCCAGTGCCGCCAGGATCGAGATGGCCAACGTCGACGCCATCACCGCCGCAAAAGTTCGATGAACCACTTCCCAGATGATCAACGCATACAGGAAGATCAACACAAACGCTGCGTAGATCACTCCGATGTCCCGATTGACCGGCGATTGATCATACGTCACGGCTATCGGAATGCTGGCCTTGATGTTACTTTTGACCATCATCCGAACGGCACTACTCTGCGAGTGGATCCGTTCGAAATTGTTATCGCTAATGTCGAAGCTATGCTGTTTCTTGATGATCGCCGCACTATCAAACAAATAAGGATGTACGATCGGCACATGCCACGGATCACTAATATTGTGCACCGAATCGGAATCCATAAATTCACTTTGATTCCTCTCCAACGTCGACGTAAGCGATTGCAGATAAATGGTCACATAGTTTTCCGTAATATTGGTATACTGTTCTCCAAGGAATGTTCCCTCGAAGGAAAACTTCACCCGGGAGCTGAGTGGCAGTTCGGGCAGGATGTAGGCCTTGGTTTTGCCGACCGGAATCGACAGGTGTTTGGTGTTGACAATCTTCTCGTCCTTCACCACCAGGAAAGCAATGATCACCATCCACGTGATGAACAGGCAAATTATCTTGGAGTACTTGCGGAAGGGGTGGTCCTCATCCAGGTGGTTCTGACCGGTGTCGATGTCCTCGTGCTTCGGGGGAGTGATATTGCCGATGTAGTGACCGGCCAGGTGGTGTACGTGCGGCTTGGGGATTTCCCTGGTTGGTGGAGGAAGTTTCATGTTAATCTGTTTTTTTTTTTATAGTTAGTTCTATGGAGTAATAATTGCCAAGGTTAAGGCTGTCTTCGGAGTGGATGCTCTAGTGGATGTTCAAAGATCAATAGCGACATTTTTTTTAATGTTTCGTTGCCATCTCTGCGTGGAACTTCCGTCATTGCATATTTTGATATTGAGCTGATATTCAGCAGTTCCACGCCAAATGACGAATCAATCTGATGCAACCCTATCCAAGTTACATGAAACTTTGCATAATTGGTAGTTATGGTCAATTATTCACATTTTTGCTAAAATTCGGCTATTTTGAATCTCGCAAAAAAAAAAAACTTCAAAATGACGGATTCAAAAACATCACGAAATGTCTAAGACTAAGTTGTGGGAACAAATATTACTTTTAAGCAGGGTTACTTCCACTCACTTGCTATAAAAAATTGTTTTTCAGAATTAAGAAATCATTAGATGTTATAATTATAATTAGAGCTTGTAAGCTACAAGAAGTGGTCGTTAAGTCGCAATCAGCGATTTTACGATTCGTGAGCGCTCACTCTGAGTGAACGCTCACGAATCATACGATCGCTGATTGTGACGCTCTGCAAGCGAAATTGACAGGTTTTATGAGTCATACACATACTTTTACACCCTCTTTTTGTTACTACAAGTACAACAAATTGTTACATCATCTAATAATTTCATAATTCAGAAAAACAAATTTTTATAGCAAGTGAGTGGAAGCAACCCTGCTTTTAAGGAATATAATACATTTTTATTAAAAAAATGCTACTTTCTGTGAAAATGTGATATTGGACAGATAACTATAAACAAAAATCCTTAAACAACAACTTATGTTACAAATTAATTAACTTAAAGCTAAATTTAGCACACAAAACCATTTTGAAGAAATTTGTCCAAGGACTTTTAAGATTTTTAAGTGTTCATTTTGGAATTATTTATAATTGGTAGAATTTATCATTTGTCAAATGAAAAACCTATATTTAAAAAATATTGAAGAGGGTCATTTTTTGGTATTTGAATATAAAACACTTTTTTTTTATTGATTTCAACTAAAATTCCGCAAAATTATTAACCCTGTATATTTTTCTTGAAAATAAATAATTTTCCTAATTTATTTTTAATTTTTAATTAAGCTAATTTAAATTATAAAAAAAAAATAATGAAATTTAAAATGGCCGAATTTTAGCAAAAAATGTAAATGATTGACTATAAAAATGATTTTTGTGGTAAAATTTGCGTTTTTCATGAGCTTCAAAAATTTTAATTCGGACATGTACATTTTAAGATATTTAGTTTTTGTTTGTTTTTTGCTTTAAATCACTAAAAGCATTTTTGTGTGTATTTTCCCCAGAAAAAAAATATTATTTGTCTCTACAACTTTGTCTCACACGTCATTTCGATCAGAAGAGCCTTTTTCTTTCCTTTCCTTTATTTAACGTCGGTCTCTGTTCCGCAATCTAGTGCCAATCACCGACGGACATCGATTGCCATCCATTGACAACAATCGAATGTGCAAGGAAGGCAGCTTCCACACCTGCGTAGGATATCGCACCCATTCACAACACACATGGGCCGGGACCAACGGCTTTACTTCCCTTCCGAAGGAAGACGTGACCAGAGATTTTTATGCCTCAGAAAAATCCCACCGACCTCGACTGGGATTGAACCCAGACCCATTGGGGTGTTAGAAAGCAGTCACGCTTACCACTACACCACCGGCGCCGGCCAGCCTTTTTCGTGCAACAACTTTTTGAACAATTTCAAAGACGCCATTGTACAAATTTTCCAAGATCCGAAATGGCTGAATTTTAGATGAAATGTGAATCATTGCCCATAACAAACAATTATGCAAAGTTTCATGCAAATCGGAGAAATTCGAGTTTTTTTCAATTTGTCAATTGGCGTGGAACTGCTCTCTCGTAAATTTAAAGTGATATTGAGATCTATCAAAAAATGGTTCCATAGAGTTTAACCAGTGAAATACCTCACAATATGGGTATTGTTGGAATCGGAGTGACGTGTAGGGACCGGAAATCGATGTCTGACGCCATTTTAAAATCCAAGATGGCGGCTTCCGGTTACAGGAAAACTTGGACATTCTGCCAAATACCCCACAATATGGGTATTTTTGGAATCGGAGTGACGTGTAGGGACCAAAAATCAATGTCTGACGCCATTTTGAAATCCAAGATGGCGACTTCCGGTTACAGAAAAACTTGGACATTCTGCCAAATACCCCACAATATGGGTATTTTTGGAATCGGAGTGACGTGTAGGGACCGGAAATCAATGTCTGACACCATTTTGAAATCCAAAATGGCGACTTCCGGTTACAGAAAAACTTGGAAATTCTGCCAAATAACCCCACAATATGGGTATTTTTGGAATCGGAGTGATGTGTAGGGACCGGAAATCGATGTCTGGTGCCATTTTGAAATCCAATATGGCGGCTTCCGGTAACAGAAAAGCTTGGGAATTCTGTCATACACTCCACAATATGGGTATTTTTTGGAAATGTAGTGACGTCTAAGAACCGGAAATCGATATCTGAAGTCATTTCGAAATCGAAGATGGCGGCTTCCGGAAACAGAAAAATTGGCGAATACCACCACGTTACCCCGATACTTAAGATACCCATATTGTAGGTTATGTAATATTACTTTTATGTTTTTATGTAACCGGAAGTTGCGACATTGAATTTCAAAATGGCGTCAGACATAAGTTTTCAGTCCTAATAGGTCACCCCGATTCCAAACAACCTATATTGTTGAGTATTTGACAGTTTTCCCAGTGTTTCTGTAACCGGATGTCACCATCTTGGATTTCAAAATGGCGTCAGACATGGATTCTCGGTTCTCACAGGTCACTTCGATTCCAAATATATCCATATTGTTGTGTATTTTACGGTATTTTTCTGTTTTCCTGTAACCGGAAGCCACCATGTTGGGTTTCAAAAAGGCGTCAGACATCGATTTATGGTCCCTACACGTCACTCCATTTCCAAAAAATACCCATATTGTGGGGTATTTGACAGAATTTTGAAGTTTTTCTGTCACCGGAAGCCACCATCTTGGATATAAAAATGGTGCCACACATCGATTTCCGGTCCTTCCACGTCACTCCGGTTCCAAAAATACTCATATTGTGGGGTATTTGACAGAATTTCCATGTTTTCCTGTAACCGGAAGCCGCCATTTTGGATTTCAAAATGGCGTCAGACATCGATTTCCGGTCCCTACACGTCACTCCGATTCCGAAAATACCCATATTGTGGGGTATTTGACAGAATTTCCATGTTTTCCTGTAACCGGAAGCCGCCATCTTGGATTTTAAAATGGCGTCAGACATCGATTTCCGGTCCCTACATGTCACTCCGATTCCAAAAATACCCATATTGTGGGGTATTTGACAGAATTTCCATGTTTTCCTGTAACTGGAAGCCGCCATCTTGGATTTTAAAATGGCGTCAGACATCGATTTCCGGTCCCTACACGTCACTCCGATTCCAAAAATACCCATATTGTGGGGTATTTGACAATATTTTCAAAAACCTCTTTTTACGAAGTAAATCCCAAATAACGAGTTTTCTTTTTACGAAGTAAATCCCAAATAACGAGTTTTTTTTATGCACTAATTCGATTTACGAACCCCCGTTTTGGTTCGTAAATGGAGGTTCCAGTGTATTATAAATTAATAATATGATCCACTCTTCTATTATCCTCTAGACACGATTTTGCCCGACACTTGCGCAACTAGTGACATGAAAGGTGACTAGTACACTGTAAATTGAGCGCTTAGCAGTTGACTGCTCAATATCAACAAGGCTATCGAAAACAATTCACAGCAGAGTAAACTTTTACTCAATTTTGAGAAAAATTATCTGTTTAAAATTATATTACACTTTCATTCAATCGGGATGGTTTTGGCAAAACAGAATATAACGGCACAAAAGCTTCTGTAAACAAACTTTCTAAGGCCCTTAACACGCGAACCAAAGTACGCCCACGCAAACCAATACCACTTTCGGAAAGGTGAGAGTTGCCCCTATCCGATCATGTTGTTGGTTTGCGTGAGCGTTCTTCGATTCGCGTGTAAAGGGCTTTAAAAAGTTTATTTACAAAAGCTTTTGTGCCGTTATCAAATGTTACGCCTGATATAATAGAAGAAAAAAAAACAACATCAGTCTAAAACGAATACAGTACTTGTTCGCTTACTGGGCTAAATACGTAGCTCAGTTAGCAAATTCCACTCGCTAACTGGGCTGGCTTGTCCAACGTCAAAAAACACTGAGGGGAGCTTCAATGGATTCTTTGATCAACGTTAAAATCAATCATGTGCATTGAATTTATACAGTGTAATGTTTGTTATTGTTATTTTCACAGCATTCAATCTCACTAGTTAAGAAAGGTTTAATGCTTTTGCTCATAACGCTTTTAAGTCTTGATTTCAGTGTGGAATGAAAATAATTTCAAATTTATTTACATTAACACTTAATATTCCATTCGAATGCCCCTCACCAATTATGACAACTAAATGTCAAACTAAATGTGACGTCTATTTGACACATAACTGCTTGATCGCGCACTGGCGGGATCCCTACATTGTGTTACGGATATAAAATAAAACAACACCGATTGCTTTGCCGTCCTGTCATGGCAGAGGCAGTGAAACCAACAATCAATACGAAACTAACGATTTTAAATTGGCTCACCACTTTAGTAGCCTATTGGTCCCAAGCAAACGATTAACGTACCCTATTCTAGTTGAAATTCTATTACTACACTATGTTTGTTTTGATTCGCTATGAAAGTTTGACAGATAACATCAGGGGTGTGTGGATTCATGCAGAACATGCAGGGGTGAGTGAAATAGCTTGGGACTGCTTGGGACCGTTGTTCTGGTACTGAGTGAGCCAAAAATAATAATGATTTTCTTCGGGACCCAGTGGTCTTAGAGTTACCTCTATGG